GTCAAGGTGATGGATCCTTGACGAATCGAACAATCGTGTTCGATAACGATCACTCGTCGTCGCCGACAAGTGATCCATGACGGATTTTGGAGGCATCCATGCCTTCTTTTCAGGAGCGAGACGCAACACATTGCGGTCCCGCTCTTCCTGCGACGTGCCGACAGAAGTACTGGCACCTCGCTGTGAAGTGGTGTCCATAGGAGAACCGACACCACTGTTAGCGCCCGAGTCTCGCGACCTCGAGCGCCTACGCTTCGGCGATGGTTCATCTGATTCATCAGATGAACCAAAGATGCTGCGACGCAAAGCATCATCCATGCCACGCTTGGCAGGCGGCTTAGATTCGATCGCCGTCGATACGGATCCGTCTTCCGTATCAGGAGAGTACGAGACACCGAGCTCGTACTCTGTGAAGACATGAGTATCTTCATGACCAGCGCCTGCATCACCAAGTGACACAGGCTGGGTCGCTTCAGCAACCGATGAGACATCAGTTGCTGTTGTTTCTGCTTCGGCGTCCGCACAGAGACGTGCGGACGCGCTCTCGGCGGCCTTGCTCGCGCATCGCATGGGCTTGTTTACCATGCGATGAGATGTTGGAAAGTGGACGCGGACCAACAAGTGCAAACCCTGTCCCAAATGATTTGGGACGAGTATCCATTTAGTCAATCAGTCACTAAAGTGACTGATGGTTAAGGGGGGGTGATGTAACGGGGTGAATCGTTACATAACAATTTATAAGAAATTGTTAATAGAATATAACTATAAGAGTTATATTCTCAGAATATTGTCATAAGGACAATATTCTGTAGCACTTACGAGTAGTTCCTAATTGGTTGATATAGGCCATTATATCAACCAACGAAGACGCGCCACGACAGACGCACGCAATTAGTGGTGAGCAGATAGTTGATATACACATTTGTACTTAGACATAGTTAGATGAAGATGAATAGTGATTTATTGCAGACATTAACTATTATAAATACAGTTCTACTTTTTACTTTAACCAAGTACTGGCTTCTTCTTACCGTCTTCCTCTGCACGTACGAGTGTACGTGAGGTTACGAGGCACCGCCTTATTCTGTCATCAGAATAAGTAGCTTGTACTGTGACCAGTACAAGCTTCAGGGTGCCCCGTTACACAACTCGCACTTGCGGACACTCTTTTTCACGATGAGCGCATACAACAGCCATCTCCGCTACGCTGTACTCGCCTCGTTACCACTGTTTCACGAATGACGAACATGCTCAAAGCTTAGCTGCCATGTGACAGTGTGTCACCCAGTAGTCGGCAGAAATTGGAGCTCGCATCGTTTGAGCTCGACAAATCGTCTCCACAGCTTCACATGACATCACGTCATTCTTGCTCCAGACGAAGCGGCAGGTTGCAAACCTTTGTGACAGTCCTCACTCCTGTACCATGCAACACATTTGCGGTACGACATCCGGTGTAGCATTCCCACAGCTCGACTGATAGCGAGGCGGACCCGACCTTGAGCGGACTCGAGCTCGAACAGGAATCGACCTGGTGGAGCTCGACCTCCAAAGCTTTCGTCACATGATGTTGTCTTTACAATTTATACCCTGCAGTCTTGTAAGCGCTGCTTCAAGACAATGGTGACTTGTGGATGAGTCGAAGGAGGTGTTTCGCATTTCCATTCATCCTGAATCTATTGTCAAACGTGTCATTACGGCCGCGCAAACTAGCGCATCGTGCAAAAGCTGTGACGACGGCACACACAGAAGTCAGTGCGACGTCCAAATTTGCTACTATGTACAGGATTTGGCCCATGTAGCCGTACATACACGCAGTAGTCGCAAACAGAGCTTGTTCACACATACCACCATAGTGCGCTGACTGCTAGCTACCATATCTAGCTTGGTGTGGTGGGTTCAAGATGCAGCCGACACCCAAACGGAAGCCGTGTGATAAGACTCACTTACACAATCGAACCACACTCGTGCACACCGCCTTTGCATCAATCACGACACGTCAAATCTTCAGTCAGACACATCACTCGATGGTGTCACGCGTTCAGCGCTTCTTCATCATGTCGAAGCTGTCACTCTCCACGAGCCACTTCGAGCATGTTCGACATTCATTTGTTTGACTGAGGTGTCGTGACGGAGAAGGCGCCAGTGCAACGATCCAGCCAACGATCAATGTTTGCACCTCGTAAGTCATTCACTAATTTGCAAGCAGCGAGCCAGTCTTCCACCACTCACGTCTCGATCGACTTCAATTCTCGCATGAAATCTGCCACTACATTCGCGACCATCGTAGCAATGAGTCTGTGCGTTGTCTCCGAGAGCGTACCGAATACACCTGCGCTCCGCGGAGTATGTGTCGATGCAGATACTCCGACAGTCCAAGAAGAAGCCGATGAAAGTAGGAAAGATCGACGCCACCACCATCACCATGTTAAGAAAGTCAAGAAAATCGCGATTCCTGTGCCTGTGGAAGTACCGCACTTCATTCCAGTTCCTGTCAGTGTCCCGTCCACGGTAGTTGCTAGCTCTGATACTACTGCTGTTGTTGGCACCTCCACCAACGTCGCGTCGACCACTGTCGCTTCGACCAACGTTGCTACAACAGGTGCTGCTACTGGTGCCATTGGGTCAGCGGGTGCAGGAGCTGCCACATCAACAAGAACAGGAGCTGTCACGCCAGCCCCAACGACTGCTAATGCAAGCCCAGCCGCAACTCCTGCAGCGACCATGACCTCGCAATCGAGAGCTACCCCGGCACCAACGAGATCTGCCAGCAGCGCGGGTATTCCGTCTTTAGCACAACAACCACGAGGTGTCGCTCAGCCTCGTGGCGCAGGTGTGACCGGGGACTTGTCATCGAGGTCAACAGTTGGAAGTCCAAGCAACGCGTTGGGTGGTGGACTCGGTGCCCCGTCTACTACTGCTGCTGGTGGCGGTGCTGGTGGGTTCCCTGCAAACTCTGGTAGTCTTGGTGAGGGTCCCACGAGCAACCGGGGCGGCAATTTCGGCGGTGCCAGTGGGATGGGTGGTTTCGGTGGCGGCATGTTCGGCGGAGTTGGCGGACAAACCTTCAGTGGGAATGGCATGGGGGACAGCTTCAGTCAGCGAATGGGTTTCGGGCAGCGAAACGGCTGCGTGCAGCAACTTGGTATCGGCGCCCAAGGTGGGAACGAGGTTGGTAGGATGCTGGGACAAGGCGCGATGATGAACTTCGGACAGGTCGGCAACAACGGCTTGTCTCGCAACAATTTGCCAGGCTTTGCAGGTGCAGCGCCGGGCGGTGGCAATGCGATTGGTGGCAGACGGTTGAGTCGTCGTGACGTCCAGCGTCGTCGCTGACGAGCGAGGATACGAAGAAGCAGAGTCGGTTGCTGCCACTCTCTCAGTTGTGCTGGGCACGTCAGACGCAGCAGTACACTGTTCTTGTTCATCGTCCGAGCACGCAGCAGTAAGTGCACCATGCCGAAAAGGTTCCGTTGCAGAAAAATAGCAGAAATACATGTAAAAATGAATGGGAAGAGAAGAAATTGAGCACTCACTCACTGACGGTCAACAGACTTCGTTGTTGGTATTCACATCTCGGTCTCGAACGATTTGCACATCCCAAAAGGCACAGTGGAGGAGGAGGATCGGATCCGCATTCCGTGTCCACTTGTCTGCGAGCGAAAACGTTGGCTTCACTTAGATAGAACGAGTGCGCCAAGGAATTAGCGAGGCCTACCTATCGACAAGCATGAAGCATGGGCAACCAATGACCGTACGAGGGAAGACCCTCATGACCGACCCTCAGGATAATCGGTGATTGTGCGAGGGACAGCGACGGATACACTCAAGACAAGGGCACTTCACACTACTCGCACTTGCGGACACTCTTCTTCACGATGAACGCATACAACAGCCATCTCCGCTACGCTGTACTCGCCTCGTTACCACTGTTTCAAGAATGACGAACATGCTCAAAGCTTAGCTGCCATGTGACAGTGTGTCACGTGACGGTGCGTCACCCAGTAGTCGGCAGAAATCAGAGCTCGCATCGTTTGAGCTCGACAAATCGTCTCCAGAGCTTCACATGACATCACGTCGTTCTTGCTCCAGACGAAGCGGCAGGTTGCAAACCTTTGTGACAGTCCTCACTCCTGTACCATGCAACACATTTGTGCTACGACATCCGGCTCAGCATTCCCACAGCTCGACTGATAGCGAGGCGGACCCGACCTTGAGCGGACTCGAGCTCGAACAGGAATCGACCTGGTGGAGCTCAACCTCCAAAGCTTTCGTCACAGGATGTTGTCTTTACTATTTATTCCCCGCAGTCTTGTAAGCGCTGCTTCGAGACGGTGGTGACTGTGGATGAGTCGAAGGAGGCGTTTCGTATTTCCATTCATCCTGAATCTATCGTCGAACATGTACGCGACCGCGCAAACTAGCGCATCGTGCAAAAGCTGTGACGACGGCACACACAGAAGTCAGTGCGACGTCCAAATTTGCTACTATGTACAGGCTTTGGCCCATGTAGCCGTACATACACGCAGTAGTCGCAAACAGAGCTTGTTCACACATACCACCATAGTGAGCGCTGACTGCTAGCTACCATATCTAGCTTGGTGGTGGGTTCGAGATGCAGCCGACACCCAAACGGAAGCCGTGTGATAAGACTCACTTACACAATCGAACCACACTCGTGCACACCGCCTTTGCATCAATCACGACACATCAAATCTTCAGTCAGACACATCACTCGATGGTGTCACGCGTTCAGCGCTTCTTCATCATGTCGAAGCTGTCACTCTCCACGAGCCACTTCGAGCATGTTCGACATTCATTTGTTTGACTGAGGCGTCGTGACGGAGAAGGCGCCAGTGCAACGATCCAGCCAACGATCAATGTTTGCACCTCGTAAGTCATTCACTAATTTGCAAGCAGCGAGCCAGTTTTCCACCGCTCACGTCTCGATCGACTTCAATTCTCGCATGAAATCTGCCACTACATTCGCGACCATCGTAGCAATGAGTCTGTGCGTTGTCTCCGAGAGCGTACCGAATACACCTGCGCTCCGCGGAGTATGTGTCGATGCAGATACTCCGACAGTCCAAGAAGAAGCCGATGAAAGTAGGAAAGATCGACGCCACCACCATCACCACGTCAAGAAAGTCAAGAAAATTGCCATCCCCGTGCCTGTGGAAGTACCGCACTTCATTCCAGTTCCTGTCAGTGTCCCGTCCACGGTAGTTGCGAGCTCTGATACTACTGCTGTTGTTGGCACCTCCACCAACGTCGCGTCGACCACTGTCGCTTCGACCAACGTTGCTACAACAGGTGCTGCTACTGGTGCCATTGGGTCAGCGGGTGCAGGAGCTGCCACATCAACAAGAACAGGAGCTGTCACGCCAGCCCCAACGACTGCTAATGCAAGCCCAGCCGCAACTCCTGCAGCAACCATGACCTCGCAATCGAGAGCTACCCCGGCACCAACGAGATCTGCCAGCAGCGCGGGTATTCCGTCTTTAGCACAACAACCACGAGGTGTCGCTCAGCCTCGTGGAGGATAATCGGTGATTGTGCGAGGGACAGCGACGGATACACTCAAGACAAGGGCACTTCACACTACTCGCACTTGCGGACACTCTTCTTCACGATGAACGCATACAACAGCCATCTCCGCTACGCTGTACTCGCCTCGTTACCACTGTTTCAAGAATGACGAACATGCTCAAAGCTTAGCTGCCATGTGACAGTGTGTCACGTGACGGTGCGTCACCCAGTAGTCGGCAGAAATCAGAGCTCGCATCGTTTGAGCTCGACAAATCGTCTCCAGAGCTTCACATGACATCACGTCGTTCTTGCTCCAGACGAAGCGGCAGGTTGCAAACCTTTGTGACAGTCCTCACTCCTGTACCATGCAACACATTTGTGCTACGAAATCCGGCTCAGCATTCCCACAGCTCGACTGATAGCGAGGCGGACCCGACCTTGAGCGGACTCGAGCTCGAACAGGAATCGTCCTGGTGGAGCTCGACCTCCAAAGCTTTCGTCACAGGATGTTGTCTTTACTATTTATTCCCCGCAGTCTTGTAAGCGCTGCTTTGAGACGGTGCTGAATGTGGATAAGTTGAACGAGGCGTTTCGTATTTCCATTCATCCTGAATCTATCGTCGAACATGTACGTGACCGCGCAAACTAGCGCATCGTGCAAAAGCTGTGACGACGGCACACACAGAAGTCAGTGCGACGTCCAAATTTGCTACTATGTACAGGCTTTGGCCCATGTAGCCGTACATACACGCAGTAGTCGCAAACAGAGCTTGTTCACACATACCACCATAGTGAGCGCTGACTGCTAGCTACCATATCTAGCTTGGTGTGGTGGGTTCAAGATGCAGCCGACACCCAAACGGAAGCCGTGTGATAAGACTCACTTACACAATCGAACCACACTCGTGCACACCGCCTTTGCATCAATCACGACACGTCAAATCTTCAGTCAGACACATCACTCGATGGTGTCACGCGTTCAGCGCTTCTTCATCATGTCGAAGCTGTCACTCTCCACGAGCCACTTCGAGCATGTTCGACATTCATTTGTTTGACTGAGGCGTCGTGACGGAGAAGGCGCCAGTGCAACGATCCAGCCAACGATCAATGTTTGCACCTCGTAAGTCATTCACTAATTTGCAAGCAGCGAGCCAGTTTTCCACCGCTCACGTCTCGATCGACTTCAATTCTCGCATGAAATCTGCCACTACATTCGCGACCATCGTAGCAATGAGTCTGTGCGTTGTCTCCGAGAGCGTACCGAATACACCTGCGCTCCGCGGAGTATGTGTCGATGCAGATACTCCGACAGTCCAAGAAGAAGCCGATGAAAGTAGGAAAGATCGACGCCACCACCATCACCACGTCAAGAAAGTCAAGAAAATCGCCATTCCCGTGCCTGTGGAAGTACCGCACTTCATTCCAGTTCCTGTCAGTGTCCCGTCCACGGTAGTTGCTAGCTCTGATACTGCTGCTGTTGTTGGCACCTCCACCAACGTCGCGTCGACCACTGTCGCTTCGACCAACGTTGCTACAACAGGTGCTGCTACTGGTGCCATTGGGTCAGCGGGTGCAGGAGCTGCCACATCAACAAGAACAGGAGCTGTCACGCCAGCCCCAACGACTGCTAATGCAAGCCCAGCCGCAACTCCTGCAGCGACCATGACCTCGCAATCGAGAGCTACCCCGGCACCAACGAGATCTGCCAGCAGCGCGGGTATTCCGTCTTTAGCACAACAACCACGAGGTGTCGCTCAGCCTCGTGGCGCAGGTGTGACCGGGGACTTGTCATCGAGGCCAACAGTTGGAAGTCCAAGCAACGCGTTGGGAGGTGGACTCGGTGCCCCGTCTACTACTGCTGCTGGTGGCGGTGCTGGTGGGTTCCCTGCAAACTCTGGCAGTCTTGGTGAGGGTCCCACGAGCAACCGGGGCGGCAATTTCGGCGGTGCCAGTGGGATGGGTGGTTTCGGTGACGGCATGTTCGGCGGAGTTGGCGGACAAACCTTCAGTGGGAATGGCATGGGGGACAACTTTAGTCAGCGAATGGGTTTCGGGCAGCGAAACGGCTTCGGGCAGCAACTTGGTATCGGCGCTCAAGGTGGGAACGCGTTCGGTAGAGTACCCGGACAAGGCGCGATGACGAACCTCGGACAGGTCGGCAACAACGGCTTGTCTCGCAACAATTTGCCAGGCTTTGCAGGTGCAGCGCCGGGCGGTGGCAACGCGATTGGTGGCAGACGGTTGAGTCGTCGTGACGTCCAGCATCGTCGCTGACGAGCGAAAGATACGAAGAAGCAGCGTCGATTGCTGCCACTCTCTCAGTTGTGCTGGGTACGTCAGACGCAGCAGTACACTGTTCTTGTTCATCGTCCGAGCACGCAGCAGTAAGTGCACCATGCCGAAAAGGTTCCGTTGCAGAAAAATAGCAAGAAATACATGTAAAAATGACTAGGAAGAGAAGAAGTTGAGCACTCACTCACTGACGGTCAACAGACTTCGTTGTTGGTATTCACATCTCGGTCTCGAACGATTTGCACATCCCAAAAGGCACAGTGGAGGAGGAGGATCGGATCCGCATTCCGTGTCCACTTGTCTGCGAGCGAAAACGTTGGCTTCACTTAGATAGAACGAGTGCGCCAAGGAATTAGCGAGGCCTACCTATCGACATGTACGAAGCATGGGCAACCAATGACCGTACGAGGGAAGACCCTCATGACCCTCAGGATAATCGGTGATTGTGCGAGGGACAGCGACGGATACACTCAAGACAAGGGCACTTCACACTACTCGCACTTGCGGACACTCTTCTTCACGATGAACGCATACAACAGCCATCTCCGCTACGCTGTACTCGCCTCGTTACCACTGTTTCAAGAATGACGAACATGCTCAAAGCTTAGCTGCCATGTGACAGTGTGTCACGTGACGGTGTGTCACCCAGTAGTCGGCAGAAATCAGAGCTCGCATCGTTTGAGCTCGACAAATCGTCTCCAGAGCTTCACATGACATCACGTCGTTCTTGCTCCAGACGAAGCGGCAGGTTGCAAACCTTTGTGACAGCCCTCACTCCTGTACCATGCAACACATTTGTGCTACGACATCCGGCTCAGCATTCCCACAGCTCGACTGATAGCGAGGCGGACCCGACCTTGAGCGGACTCGAGCTCGAACAGGAATCGACCTGGTGGAGCTCAACCTCCAAAGCTTTCGTCACAGGATGTTATCTTTACTATTTATTCCCCGCAGTCTTGTAAGCGCTGCTTCGAGACGGTGGTGACTGTGGATGAGTCGAAGGAGGCGTTTCGTATTTCCATTCATCCTGAATCTATCGTCAAACGTGTAATTACGGCCGCGCAAACAAGCGCATCGTGCAAAAGCTGTGACGACAGTACAGACAGAAGTCAGTGCGACGTCCAAATTTGCTACTATGTACAGGATTTGGCCCATGTAGCCGTACATACACGCAGTAGTCGCAAACAGAGCTTGTTCACACATACCACCATAGTGAGCGCTGACTACTAGCTACCATTTCTAGCTTGGTGGTGGGTTCAAGATGCAGCCAGCACCCAAACGGAAGCCGTGTGATAAGACTCACTTACACAATCGAACCACACTCGTGCACACCGCCTTTGCATCAATCACGACACATCAAATCTTCAGTCAGACACATCACTCGATGGTGTCACGCGTTCAGCGCTTCTTCATCATGTCGAAGCTGTCACTCTCCACGAGCCACTTCGAGCATGTTCGACATTCATTTGTTTGACTGAGGCGTCGTGACGGAGAAGGCGCCAGTGCAACGATCCAGCCAACGATCAATGTTTGCACCTCGTAAGTCATTCACTAATTTGCAAGCAGCGAGCCAGTTTTCCACCGCTCACGTCTCGATCGACTTCAATTCTCGCATGAAATCTGCCACTACATTCGCGACCATCGTAGCGCTGAGTCTGTGCGTTGTCTCCGAGAGCGTACCGAATACACCTGAACTTCGCAGACGACTTGTCGATGCGGACACTCCGACAGTCCAAGAAGAAGCCGATGAAAGTAGGAAAGATCGACGCCACCACCATCACCATGTTAAGAAAGTCAAGAAAATCGTCATTCCCGTGCCTGTGGAAGTACCGCAATTCATTCCAGTTCCTGTCAGTGTCCCGTCCACGGTAGTTGCGAGCTCTGATACTACTGCTGTTGTTGGCACCTCCACCAACGTCGCGTCGACCACTGTCGCTTCGACCAACGTTGCTACAACAGGTGCTGCTACTGGTGCCATTGGGTCAGCGGGTGCAGGAGCTGCCACATCAACAAGAACAGGAGCTGTCACGCCAGCCCCAACGACTGCTAATGCAAGCCCAGCCGCAACTCCTGCAGCGACCATGACCTCGCAATCGAGAGCTACCCCGGCACCAACGAGATCTGCCAGCAGCGCGGGTATTCCGTCTTTAGCACAACAACCACGAGGTGTCGCTCAGCCTCGTGGCGCAGGTGTGACCGGGGACTTGTCATCGAGGCCAACAGTTGGAAGTCCAAGCAACGCGTTGGGTGGTGGACTCGGTGCCCCGTCTACTACTGCTGCTGGTGGCGGTGCTGGTGGGTTCCCTGCAAACTCTGGTAGTCTTGGTGAAGTTCCCACGAGCAACCGGGGCGGCAATTTCGGCGGTGCCAGTGGGATGGGTGGTTTCGGTGGCGGCATGTTCGGCGGAGTTGGCGGACAAACCTTCAGTGGGAATGGCATGGGGAACAACTTCAGTCAGCGAATGGGTTTCGGGCAGCGAAATGGCTTCGGGCAGCAACTTGGTATCGGCACTCGAGGTGGGAACGCGTTCGGTAGAATACCCGGACAAGGCGCGATGACGAACTTCGGGCAGGTCGGCAACAACGGCTTGTCTCGCCACAATTTGCCAGGCTTTGCAGGTACGGCACCGGACGGTGGCAATGCGATTGGTGGCAGACGGTTGAGTCGTCGTGACGTCCAGCGTCGTCGCTGACGAGCGAAAGATACGAAGAAGCAGAGTCGGTT